CAGGTTTGAGGCCGACTCGAGCGAGCGAGAGGAGCCTCGGGCTCTCTAAGAGGCTCCGAAGAGCGGAGTCCTCGGAGAGACGCCGGGCGAGGACAGCGGACGCGGGCTGCGCCTCGTGTCCGGGCTGGGACAAGGTCTGGCCCCTCTGGGTGAAGTGGGCACGGCTCTCTCACGCCCCGCGGGCCCCACCCGCTACCGCCTTCGCCCCGGGCCGCCGGCGCGCTGCCCCGAGCCGCCGCCTGCGCCTGCGGAGTCGGTGGTCCTGGCGGAGCCGGCGCCGCGGGCTGTCCGCGCTTGGTACCGAGCCGAGGTTCCAGCGGCTTCTTCCGAGTGCCCGGGCCCAGTCCCGGCGCCGGGGCAGGCATTGCTCAGGGGGGCCGCAGAGGCGCCGAGGCTCCGCCGGCCTCGCGGGAGTCGTGCAGCGTCTTCCTCTACGAGGCGGTTTTCGGAGCGGGGTCCGCGGCGGGCCGGGCCCGGCCCCTGCCCTCCAGCTGGACGCGCCTCGCCCAGGCGCGTGTTCCCGCGCGGGCGGCCAGGCCTTTTGTTCCCAACGCGCTGTGCCGTTAAGGTCGAGGCTGGATCCCAGGCGGTGCACGGACCCGACCCCCCGCCTGGCCATGGCTCTGGCTCCCGAACGCAGCATTAGAATGTTTATAAAATATTCAATTTATGCAGTCTGTCCAAGAAGCCATCGGCCCAAAATAAAATCAGCAGTCTAGACGGAACACAGACACCAGAACTTATCAACAGTTGTCTGACTTGCATCTTCTGATGCATCTTGAGTGGGTCATAATACCAACTTTATTTTCAGTGGTGCATAAATTAATTACACGCATTTAATAACCAAAATATCATTATATTCCCCCTTTAATATCATAAAGGCTTTCCGCCAGGGAAGCACTTAATAGTGCAGGGGGCCGTAACGGGCTATTATCTTGGTGTAATGCTATTACAGAACCAATTATGCGCCATTAGACTTGCTTTTTTTGCAGTTTATGTGATTTGATCCAATCCCGCGCCCCTGACTTGAAAATTTCAGCCCGGTGCTTTAGAGTTTAATTTTCGCCCAGGCAGAGGGAAGGGCGGTCCCTCTCCGCTGAGCGGCTGCCTCGGATGCATTTTAAAAGTAATTGCGAAGGGTCCCACCGCATATCATTTGCATGGAGAAGCAACCATAAATCCAGGGACCCCTCGCTGAGAACAAAATCAAACTTTCCTTTTGTACGGTCGCTTGGAAAGGGAAGCCGTGTGCAAAGAGTCCCCCCAAAACCCATCCGGCGGCGAAAATTAGCAGCGCTTTGTCAATTCGAAGCCCGGGAGCCGCCTGGCCCGTGACGGGGGCGCGCCCGAGTCTAAACTCTCCGGGAGAAAGAAGGTTTGCGTCCGGGGACTGAAATGGGGGTGGGGCGGAGTGTTAGGAAAATATTGCCTTTTCGCGGGGGTGGTGGGAGTGCTGGTTGTTACTATCCTCTTTGAAAAGAAACGAGGGAAAAGATTCCTGGTGTTTGCTGAGAAATGACGGTTGTTTTTTTTTTTTTTACACCACGTGGGCCATTTGTAAGGCCCAATAGACCTATCCAAGTTACTCGCTGTAGACAGCGCTGGAAATAATCAGATTAAGGCCAATTATGCGTGAGATTATAAAGGCGAGTGCCGAGCCGCGGTCGCCCTGTAGACAGACAGCAAAGACATCTGGCCACTTCCCGAGTCACTTTTCTGGCCTTGTGGG